AATCCTCAACAGCTGTTTACCCAATTTAAATTAAACCATTTAAATCACGTGAATAAAAAATATTTGGATCCATTTTTTCATGAGCACTCATCATATATGATATATGGACATACGTACATACAAACATACAACATAAAACACAAGTGTGCACATATAATATAATACATACAACACATAACATAATAGTAAAGGCCTTATAACTTTTTACAGGTGAAATCTCCATTGCAATGTTTAAAAACTCTATAGTCAAAAAATAGAACTGATCAGCAAAACATTAACCTAGGTCTGTATGAGCTCAAAAAACAAAATAGAACTTCATGATGTGGGAAAGGGCAATAATAAAATAGATATTGAAAAAAGCATCCTGGTTCTGTCACAGATGTAAGGGTAGCCAAACTGGAGTTTTGGATATCAGCTGTTATGGATTTGAGCCAAATCATCTTCTTTTTGGTCTGTAGAAATCGCTTTAGTCAATCTCTCTGGAATCCAAATCGGCTGCTGTTCTCCCTGTGGAAACACACAAACAGACCCCTGACTCCAGACAATCACTGGGTCAGGACTTTAGTTAATCTCTCTGGAATCCAAATCGGCTGCTGTTCTCCCTGTGGAAACACACAAACAGACCTCCGACTCCAGACAATCACTGGGTCAGGACTTTAGAATGCCAAGGTCGTGGGTTCATTCCCCGTACGGGCCACCAAATGCCGCAGTCTGGCTGGGCACAATTCAGGAGCCACTTGTCAAAGGAAATGAACTTTATTTTTAGAACACACACACCACACCACACAGCTCCTCAGGAAAACCCTCAAAGCCCAACTGCCACCACCAGCTTCCCACAAGCCTCTCAACCTCCCCCCACTCCTCCTGCTCTTGAGGCTGATTGGCTGGATCATGTGGGCAGAGCCAAAAAAAGTCCCCCAATGAGCAGCTCTGTGGTCTGAAAGGGCGGGGAAACAGCCCAATGAGCATCACCGCAGAGGAGCCAATCAGTTGGCAGCTAGAAGTTTGCTGGGGCTGCTGTGAGCCAATTGCAGCAGTCTGGCTGGGCACAATTCAGGAGCCACTTGTCAAAAGAAACGAACTTTATTTTTAGAACCACACACGCCAAACAAAACAGCTCCTCAGGAAAAACCCTCAGAGCCCAACTGCCACCACCGGCTTCCCACAAGCCTCTCCTCCTACCCCCCTCCTCCTGCTCTTGAGGCCGATTGGCTGGGTCGTGTGGGCGGAGCCAAAAAAGTCCCCCAATGAGCAGCTCCATAGTTTGAAAGGGTGGGGAAACAGCCCAATGAGCATCACCGCAGAGGAGCCAATCAGCTAGATGTTGCTGGGGCTGCTGTGAGCCAATCATCAGCTGGCAGTCTGAAAGTTTGCTGGGGTCCCTTAGGCTGTGGCTCTCAACACCAATCATCAGCTGGCAGCTGGAAGTTTGCTGGGGCCACTGTGAGCCAATCATCAGCTGGCAGCTGGAAGTTTGCTGGCAGCTGGAAGTTTGCTGGGGCCCCTTTGGTTGTGGCCCTCAATAGTACTGAGGATCAAACCCAGTGCCTCATGCATGCTAGGTGAGCGCTCTACCACTGAGCCACTACCCTAGCCCCTTCAGCCCCTATTTATTTATTTATTTATTTGGGCACTGGGGGTTAAACTCAGGGACACTCAACCACTGAGCCCCATCCCCAGCCCTATTTTGTATTTTATTTAGAGACAGGGTCTCACTGAGTTGCTTAAGGCCTTGCTAAGTTGCTGAGGGATTCAAATGCTGCCCCTTCCCGGCAGGAGTTATAGAAGATCCACCTAAGTCCCTGTTCCCTAAGGGGCTCAATGAAAAAAAAAAAGGGGGGGAATATAAGGTCCTTGCTTAGCATCCAGATAGTCACCTTAAGTGCCAGCAGCCATTTTAAGGAAAAAGTTTCACTTTCCTGCCCAAGGGCCTTTCTGAGAAAGGCTTACCACCCCCTTATACCAACCCAACTCTTAACCTCCCGCATTAGGACCTGCTCAGCTCTGATTCCTGAGCCTGCCCCCTAAAAGTCCTGGAACCCAAGCCTGTTTTGCCTCTCTCTCCCATAGAGAGATGGCCTTTATTTGTCAGCTCTGACAAATAAACTCTTGTGTCTCTCTCTGCCTGGTCTCAGTCTTTCATTTTTCGCTTTCCTGTTTCTCGTTCCTCGCTTTCCCTTCACTTATTATTTACTGGAATATTTTCACTTGCATATCTAGTCCATTTTTTCTTGGATAGAATGGTCTCTTAATTATTGTCTATGTTTCCAAATATCTATTTGCATCTTCAAAATAATTTTAATGAAAATAATGCATGTACATAGTTAAAAGATTAAATATGAATAAGGCTTATAAAGAAAAACAAAAGTCCTTTATCCCTTTCTTGCCTCTCCAAATTTGTGTTTCTTACAGGCACACAAATTATTTTAGCTGTTTGTTTCTTAAGCTATTTACCTCCTTGTTTCTAAGAAAAATAATCATTATGATGTATCTTGACCTAATGACTTCTTCCCCCCCACCACCATGATTGAACCCAGAGAGTTGCTAAACCACTGAGCCACATCCCTTTTTCCTTTGTATTTTACTTAAAGACAGGATCTCACTGAGTTGTTTAGGGCCTCACTAAATTGCTGAGGCTGGCTTTGAATTCTGGATCCTCAGCCTCCCAAGATGCTGGGATTACAGGCATGATCCATCACTTCCAGCTTGACCTAATGACTTCTTATTATCAGAGATAGTTAATCTTCTGTCATATCCTTTCTAACTTCTCTGTGACATAGGAATTTGGGGATAGAGGAAAGATCACTTCTCAAAAAGAAACACCCTTGAGCTGTTGGAATTCAGGAAATGCCATTTGAACATTTGAAATGCAAAACAAGCATTCTGGACCAACTCAACCAGTGCCTTTGGCCTGTGCCCTTGATCTATGTCCTTCCCTGCAAAAAGTAATGTGAGCCAGGGTCCAGGCACATGCCTGTAATAGGGACAGGGAAGCTGAGATAGGAGGAGCTCAAATTCGAGGCCAGCTGTGCAATTTAGGGAGACCTTATCTCTAAACAAAATAAAAAGGGCTGGGGATGTAGCTCAGTGGTAGAGCACCCCTGAGTTCAATTCCCAGTACCCAAAACCAAAACAACAACAACAAAAAATAAAACCAAGAAAACCATCAGGGCAATGAGCAAACACTAGAAAAACTGGTGCAAAATTTTGTAACTCTGTCCTGGCTCCACTTCTAGTCCAGCTCTTAGCAACTGTCCCTCTATAAATATTAACACCCCACTTGCTGTCTCTTCCTCTGGAGAAGGCCCACATTCTTCCTTGAATGTATACTTCTTACTTTACCCTAAAAGACATTTCTCCCCTTAGATAGGCTGCATTTTCTTTTTTTTGTTTTGTTTCTCAGTACTGGGAATGAAGCTAGGACACTCTACCACTGAGCTTCACCCTTAGCCCTTTTTATTAATTTTTAAAAAAATATATATTTTTAGTTATAAATGGACACAATGTCTTTATTTTATTTGTTTATATTTTTAATGTGGTGCTGAGGATCAAACCCAGTGCCTCACTTGTGCTAGATGAGTGCTCTGCCACTGAGCCACAACCTCAGCCCCTTTTATTTTTTGAGATAGAGTCTCACTAAGTTGCCAAGGCTGGCCTAGAACTTGTAATCCTCTTGCCTCAGCCTCCTGAATTGCTGAGATTATAGGCTGTGCCACCATGCCCAGCCTGCATTCTTTCTTGAATGTGATCTGCTTTCCTAAGTAAATCTGTTTCTGACTGGCACATGATGAAATTCTTTTCCATCAAGTATGTCAAGGACCCCTCTTGCCATGAGTCAAGGTAGGCTCAGGGAACTCCTCTGGTGACATATCTATACTACCAACATATTTTGGTAGTGGTCAGAATTCTGAATTAGAAATAATTTACTCAGAATCTTGAAGGACAAAATCCATCTCAGTGAAATCATTGTGGATCCTAATGATTGACTCTTCCCTTCTACTGTGATAAAGATTAAAAAACAAAGCAAAAAACCTTGTTTTTAGGTGCTGGATATCAAATCCAGGGTTCTCACACACACTAGGTAAGTACTCCACCACTAAACTTTACTCGCAGTCCAACTTCATCCTTTTAGTGGTCAGTTCTAGAACCTAGCCTGCCTTTGATATCATGATTGCTAGAATACACCTACTCCCCCTTTTTGAAAAGCAAAACAATATTAGATCATCCCGGTCTTCTTGGGCTTCTGCCATTCTCTATGATTACTAACCTCATATGTCAGTACCCTAGGATGTAATTAATATGGGCTATTTGGAGCACAATAACAGGGAGCCCTGATCTCATCTGAGGAAGTGACATTTAAGCTGAGATCTAAAGGATGAATAGCAAACGCAGTGAAAGCATTCTAGCAGAGATGGCTGCCTGTGCATAAACTGTTAGGCGCTTTGGGAACTCAAGGAATGAAAGGTGGCCACTGGAGTAAGCAAGAGGGACAGTTGTCCACTTGAGGCTAGAGAGGAAGAAAGGGGTCAGAGAATTCAGTACCTTGTACATGATGTTAAGGCAGAAATTTAAAGGCATAAGCAGGGGAGTGATTTGATCTCTTTTGTCTTCTGAAGATTTCTGATTGCAGTGTGGAGAAAGGATTGCAAAGGACCAATAGTTAGGAAGATATGGGTAAAATTGGTCTTAAATCAACACCAAGGCAAGCTTTGAAAGGGGGAAAGATATTTCACATGGACAAAAGGTAGCTTCATGAGGTGTGTTTGAAAGCTCAGCAGGTATAGTTCAATTTCTTTAACTTACTGATCATGGGGTGATTTTTTAAAATATTTTTTAGTTGTCAATGGACCTTTATTTTATTTATTTATATGCCGCGCTGAGACTCAAACCCAGTGCCTCACATATGCTAGGCAAGCGCTCTACCACTGAGCCACCACCCCAGCCCCTCATGGTGTGATTTAGATGCAGATTTAACAGTTTCAATTTTTCCCCCTTGAAAGGAAAGCAGGAACCAGGAGATGAGCGCGAGCGAGAAATGAAAGACAGACCAGGCCGATATACACATGAGAGTTTGTCAGAGCTGACAACAAAGGCCATGTCTCCATAGATGGAGAGAGGCAAATACAGACTTGGGTTCCTTCACTTTTTATGGGGCAGGCTCAGTGATTGGAGATGGGTGGGTCCTAATGCTGGTAGTTAAGGGTGGGGTTGGTATGAGGGAGTGGTGAGCCTTTCTCAGAAAGGCTCTTGGGTGGGAAAGAGAAACTTTTTCCTTAAAATGGCGGCTATCACTTAAGATGGGTATCTAGATGCTAAGCAATGACCTTATACCCCTCTCTTTCTTTTTTTTTTTTTTTAGCATTGGGTAGAAGAAGTGATTGTGTTTCTTCATCATTGCTCTCTTGCTGGATCATGGTTGCTCCTGTGCCCTACTGATTGGTCTGCCCATTTAGCATGGTGAGATTTTTGAGGGGTTTAGGAAGAATGTGGGAAAGAGTACAGGGGTGGGGGTGGGGAGGGAGTGGCAGTGAAGAAGAAGGACTTTCTGAGTGGCTTACACGGAAAAGGGGCAATAGGCATTATCTGTAGTTAAGTTAGAAATAACGATAGAAGATAGCTTCCTGAATTACTACCTGCTGGAGACTAGGGTGTCTGTAGAGTCAGCTGATACACCAGAAGAGTTGGTATTATGTGCCACATGTTTTGACAGTTTAGGCAGGAGGAAGTTAGTTTTTGCAGCTCTGTTTATGGAGTTGGTCCAATGAAAATTCTGGCTGATGGTCTGCTTTTCATATTCATCGACAACAGCTTTTTACAACACCTGGGATTTCTTTGGAAACTGTGAAGAGGCACTGGAAGAAAAAAATGTATTTTTCTTGTTTAAAAAAAAAACTCACAAAGGAGTTTTTTAAAAAAATAAGAAAGGAGTGACTCTAAAGGATATATGTGAGAGTGGCTCTAATTTAAGGTTGAATTTGGGATATGGAAAAAATCACCTTTGCATAAATTTCATGTTTTGCTGAGCATATTTTGATTTTTATGGAATTGCATTTCTATAGTAGGGCAAATTACTCTGGACACATGAGTATAGGTGTCCTGCTGAAATAAATTAGGAGGACAAAGAGTGGACTTAGAATAACAAATGAAAACTCAAATAACAATTTCCTTGTATTTTGAAGGGGCTTAAATCATTGCTTTTACATTGAAGCAACTTGACCATGGGCAAGTGTGAGAGGTTACTGCAGAAGAAAAATTCTGGGTCTCTAATTTTTTGAGATTGATCTGTTTGAATCCATAAGCAGAATACATTTTTCCCATTTGCTTAGCAAAACCTAATAAGAAAAGATATTCTTTACTAGTAAGTACTTGTATCCCCAAATACCTAAATTGGGTTTCTATTATTTATTTTATTGATAAGGATTCTAGATTTATGTCTAGAGTGAATGACAATAACCTCTTCCATCCCCCAAGTCCAGTGTCTAGAATAGTGCCTGCCACGCAGTAGTTGTTCAGCAAATAATTAGTAAATGAAATTAAGGTAGTTGCTGTGTTCAACAAAAGCCAGAAAATAAACTGTTTGAAAACATACCTTTGAAGTGGTAGAGAGTAAAAGTTTAGATCTATTTTGTCAACAAATGTCCTAATATCTGATTAATACAGATTTAACCTAAATCTTAACAATCATTAGATATTGCCTAAAAGGAACCATCTTGGGGAAGAATTTTAAACTGTTGGTTTTACCTCTGGGCAGTTAAAACACTTTGGGAACAAACCCTAAGTCTCTTGCATTTGCATTTTACTGGGGATGGGTTCCTAGTTGATCAAAGAATCAAGTGCAAACTTTGAAGCATGTTTCTGAAGATCTTTTGGGGTTTTAGCTTTCACCAGAGACTCTACCCCACCCCCACCCAAACAGTTTAGGCATCAGCAAATATGGTGTGCTCTTTTTTTAGGTTGTGTTGCACTTTCTCATGGACCTCTCTCTCCACTCAGGAGTTTGCCCCAGTGGTTCCTTCAACACCTTCCCAGGATCCATGACACAGTTAAATCTTCAGATTTTTCAGGGCAGCTGCCCTAGACCCCTTTTTCAGAGGCACTATGAACTTCCCTTTTCTTTCAGCAGTTCGCATTTCTACTCTAGCAGCCATTACATTCTAACCTGTCATTTTCACTTTTCAGACTGCGATCACCCTCTGGGAGGTCGTTTAAGAATTCACTGTGTCTGGCGCCTAGCACAGTGCCTGGTACAAAGAAAATAACGAGTAAGATTTGTTGAAATGAATTTAATCCCTAGAAGGGAAAAGGAGAAGTGATAGTGCCCAGTAGTAAAGGTCCTTCACGATCTCAGGGGAGGCCGGTGGTTTAGCAGGGCCTGTCCCCAGCTCTGTACTGGCTGGAGAAAGTGGTGCGACAAAAGCCTCTGGCAAATGTTACTGAACTACCTTTACTAATTTCTTTACTTTTATAGAAGAATCTGCAAGTTCTTCTCCTACAGCTTCGGGCCCCGCCTGAGGGCGGTGCAAGACGGGAGTGGGGGAGGGATGCCCAGTCTAAAGGCTATTCTAGATTTGGCTTTCAGTTTTCGTTTTTAAGCTTTGGCAGATTCCAGTTCTAAGCTAGGGGCGGAGGATGCAAAGGGTTTCCCGGCACAAATTTCGACTTCTAGGAAGTCTCCCAGCATTCGGGAATTGGCCTAACTTATCCTTTGCACATTTCCCACAGCTAGTAATCTACCGAGTGCTCCCGACCTGCACATAGGATCTGTGCTGAGAAGCTTCCTTCTTCAACCCTCCGGGCAAACCCCGAACGGGCGTATGGGGGAGCTCCCAGCTCGCAGTAGCAGGCGGAATAGGGGGACCTTTGGACTACAACTCCCAGGCTGCTCCGGGAGCATTGCGAAGGAGGGGGCGAGCGGGAGGGGGGGGGTGGCAGGGAAATCCCGCCCCGCTGCGCAGCAGCAACGACACAAAGCCTGACTTTACAACCTCACAGAGAAAGTGGAAGTAAGAGGGCTTAGGTGGGGAAGCTGAACAAGAGAAAGAACGCGAAGGGAAAGCCGCCTAGGTGGGAGCAGAGCGGGGAGACCCTCACGTTGGTAGATGAGAAGGGGCCAGCTTTCATCAGTAATCCCCCTGCCCGCGCCCCTCCCGCGCCAGGGTCTCCACAGTGCCCCGCCAGTGCCTACTCTTCCTCAGAGCGCGGTTACTCCCGGCCGGGAAGCGGGAGCCCAGCCGTCTCTCAGGCTCAGAGCCGGCCAGTGGGCTGCGCCGAGGCTCCCCAACCCGAGTGCGGGACGAAAGCGCGGGGCCGAGGAGGGGCTGTGAGTGAAGCCGAGCGGTGGACGAGTTAGGGCCGGGGTTAGGGAGGCTGTGGTTCCAGATAGAGACACGGGAGTAGTGTCGGGAGGAAGCGAAGCTAGGCGAGGCAAGGCGAGGTGAGGTGAGGTGAGGCGAGGCGCGGGGAACCTCGAAAGGGTCCCCAGTGCCCTGAGAGGGGCGTCCGCGGAAGCCAGCTGGGAGACGGGCGGGGGCATTGCGCCCGGGAGAGTACGGACAGCGGGGTGCTGAGCCCGGCGCCAGCGAAGAGGTTGGGGTGCCCCCCTCCCCGCGGGAGGAGCCTAGCGCTCCTCCGCCATCCCTCCCCCGCGCGCCGGGTTTGCTTCTCCGCGGGCAGCCGCGGGCTGGCGGTGCTGGGGCCAGATAAGGGGGAGCGACGGGGCCGCCGCCCCCGGGCCGGGCGGGCCGGGGCTGGGGGCGGGGGCGAGGGCGAGTGAGGCGGGGCGGCGGCGGCGGGGCCTCGGGCGCGAGGGCGCGGGCAACGGCGGTGTGGGGGGGTGGCGGGGGAGCGCCGAGAGGCGAGGAGGGCAGCCCGCCTAGCTGTCCGCTTTGCGCCGCCGGCCCACGCCGCAGTGTGTTTTGTGGACGGCGCCTTCCCGGACAGCCCTGTAGAGTCCAGCTGAGTGCCCGGCAGCCTTCGACGCGATGTTCCGTCAGAGCTTTAACCGTTTTGTAAGTACACTCGCTGCGGCTCCACGCGTACCGGGTGGCTTGTTCCCAGCCCCTTCTCCGGGTCCCTCACAACAAATTTCTGATGGGGTAATTGGGAGACGCCACCCTTGTTTGAACTGAAACGCCTTGCCCTGGTGGCTAGGGTGGGGAGGCAGGTAGAGCTCTCGAGGTAGCTCACCCCCCGCCCCCAGGACATTTTATCCCGGGCTTTCCGGGGCTGCCAGGAACTCTGTCTCGGAGTGGGGGCCGCCTTCGAGCTGGATGGTGGGGGGTCTTGTGGAAGAACAGCCCGGGGGGGCCCTCTGTTTGCTAATTAGACGAAGATGGCGTTTTATTATCCGGGAGGAAGCCTTCTTTTGTTTCCTCTGCCACGAGCACATGGAGGTAAATGTAGACCTGTCACTGTGGCCCAAAAGAAGAGCTGGGGGCTGAGGGAGCCGGAGGCTGGAGCGGGACTCAGCGTTGCCCGGGGGCTCGGCCGGGGCGGGCGGCTGCTGACCCGAGGCGGGGCAAACTTTGGAGACCCTGCCGGCGAAGCTCACCTTTAGGGTACTGTAAACGCGAGGGCGATGGTCAGGATGGGCTGGTGGATGTGGAGCCGCGGGGAGGCTGCAGCGCGCTCTAGGCGCTGCGGAGCGCGGGTCTGAAGAAGCTTCGCGGAGGGCTGAATGCCCCAGACATCCAACCTTTGGGAGAGGGCAGACTGCGGCTCGGCTCCTGCGGCCACATTTCCCCCGTCCAAATCTCCAGAATAGGGAATTGTATTTCCGTGGGAGTTTGGCATGGGGGAAAAGCGGTTTCTAGCTTCTGGACTTTTGAGTAACCTGTTTACTCCTAGAAGGCACGTGAGGAATGGAGCAAAGTAGGGGCCATTGACTTATGTGCTATTTGTAGCAACTTCCTTAATTTTCGGAGGAGGTGGCGGGAATCGGGTTTATTTTTGCTAACGATGTGAAAGAAAGGGTTCATCTGCAAATTTTGATTTTTCTGCACGTAAGCAAAAGGATTGAGTGCTGAGCGCTTCCCCCATCGCCCTCACTGTACGTGTTGGAGAACTTTTTATTCGATTACTCCTAATGAAAGCATTGCTAACATTTTTCATAGGGCGGATGAAATTTGTTCTCATTTTTTTTTCTGCATTTGAAACTTTCACAAATGTACCCTGGTTAAAAGTAATACTTGAACACAATTCCTTTTTAGGGTATTATCACCACAGTCTTGCTATGTTAATGTTTTTCTAAACGTTTACCTCACTCTGAGACATGCAATACGAAATTGGAGCAGGTTATTACCTGTGGCATAGAGCAATAGAGGTTGGTACATGTCAAGGATCTTGAAATCGTATGAAATAGCTTTTATTGGATGCTTTGCTGAAGCAAGTATCTAAAATTTATTTCTCACATTTAGCCTCTAAAAGATCATTGTACCTCATATTCTATTTCACATAGGTTCTTGTGATCATGAGGTGTTGTTTTGAGTGATAAAAAAGGAAAGGTGACAGGAAGAGCTAATTGTAATATTTGCAAAAAGGATGAGCTTTTCACATGGCACTGTTACATTGGAGAACAGTAACAGTGGGCTCTGGATCATATTAAATTCATTTAGCTTAAATTTGAGATGTCAAAATCACATTTTTTAAAATGAGATTTTAACATTTGAAACTGAACAACTCAAGTATTGGACTAAAAGCCCCCTTTACCTCTTCTCTTGATAAGACTGATCTGCATTATATCACAGTCTAGTAATTAAGCAGTGCTGGCCACGAAACCAGTGCATGCAGTAGAATTTGCAGCAGTTGCTGAGGTGCCAGCCTGCAGGTTTGAGGCTAGTACTTTGCATCCCTAACCAAGATTTCTGCAGAAAATCACTTTTGCTCACACCAAAAGGAGCTTTTTTAACCTCGTTGTTTCAGCTGGGATGTGCAACTGCTCACATTTTCCTGAGTAGCCATGTCTATGGTAAGTCCTGGGAATTTGTGCCAGTATAGTATGTTGGAAGGTTCTTAGGAGTTCTGTCTGAGCACTAGGCCTAGGGCAAGGGATTAACAACATGCTGTTGAACTGAATGCAAAACATCCTATCAAATTCTCTTTGTTAAAAAATGTCTTTAAAAATTGGGGTGGGCGCAAATTTTAGATCCCAGTAAACCATATGCTATTCTTGTCTTTTGCCTGGCCCAGGTTCAGATTCTTTGAGGGCCATTCACATTTAAATCACTAGAAGGATAAAATTAAAGATTAGGTGGGACTTTGAGACTTAAACATAAGGTAGATGTAGTCTAAATTCTGTGTTAACCTCTGGATTGTTTTAATATTTTAGAATGAGGGCTGTGAATTCCTTTCAGAATCTATTGTGCTATTTTGATAGAGCTATACTTTCTGACAGGCTTTAAATGTTAAATAAATTACAGTAGTGTTGATTGTAGTTCTTGATCATTAAAAACTAGCGAGCTGTGTATTAGACAATGGCTTTCTTTACATTGTAAGCCAGATGTGGGAAGTAAGAATCTCTTAAGAGTCTCATCATCTACAGTTCAGTTGTATTTGCTGAGTCGTTTTAAAAATGCCATTTGTTTTCCTGGGTTTTCCATTTTCCAGCTAAAAGAAATAGTAGTTTTTAAAGATATGGCTCTGACGTATTTACCATTAATAACTGTGGTCCTTCCTTTCTGATATATTATAACTTTCCTTTTCACAGTTTTGAGGTATAAAGAAATTGGTGGATTTGGTGTACAGCACTTTAGGATTTAGGTATATAGGGAGTGTCTTGAAAGATTTAAGAGTTGGATGTTGCAGAATGCAGTAAAAGCACTGCCTGTTCTTGGTCAACATTTTGATAAACAATAAATAAATAATAGTGGCTTTGCCTATGCAGTATTTTGTTCAAAGGCATATTTAATTGAAATCTGGACTAGATGAGAGTTAAGGATCTTGGACTTTTATGTTATCCTGTCTTCTTTTACTCTTCAGGTAAAGTTCTTAGTGATTATAGTAACATTTTCACATAGACTTAAAGGGTTATTGGCAGTTGAAATAGTAAGAATTCCCTTTTTTAGCTTATTAAGTTATTTCACACTAAAGATTCAAATGAGACATTTCTCGATGAAGTACGTTAAGGCACTTGGCAAGTGGATGCTATCAGTTTAGCTTATCTGAATTTCTAAATTATTGATAGTGAAAACTTATTGCAAGTGTGAAAAACTGGAGTAAATTTATATCTCTGATTCTAGAAGCTCTCTAACTGCTTTGTTTCCATAAAGCATGTTGTATGTAGTAATGACATTATAAAAAAAAATCTTACCGAAGAGACTAGAAAAATATTAGATACTGCATAAGGAAGAATGAAAATTCAAAATGAGACTAGAAGTACAGAATAAGAATTAATGAAATAGGTAGGTGGTTACTTATTATTTTGAGTTCAAGGCAAGACCAGTCTAATGAAAGAATATATGGAGGCAATTAACAAAATAATTCAGGTAATTGCTTTTTTTTTTTTTTTTCTTTTTCCAGAAGCAAGAAGTTTTTGGTTTCCTTGTTAAATTATCAGGGTAATTAAGCCTTTTTTTTGTTGTTGTTGTTTCACTTCCCTAATAACCTCGGCCTGATGTTGCTGAGTGTGGAATATATTGATTTTATTTTGTTATGTTTATAAATATACCTGCATGTGTGTATTTCAGTATTTTTGCATTTATTTATATGAATCTTACCAAAGTCTGTGCAGCTTGGCTTCTACCAGCTAGTTCATACATAGGTAGGTCTAACAATTAAACTTGACCTTGCCTAAAAGCAACCTTTTTATCATATTGCATTACAATTGCCTTTTAACTTATGTGGCTCCCTTAGACCAGTCTTTCCCAACTGGGAGAGATTAAGCCCTAATGCCCTAGGGCATACATAATGTGTAATAAATTCACTTCTTTCCTACACAGCTGGAGGAGGAACCCCAATTGAGAAAGGCTGTCTTAGACTGAATGTAACTGGGGGTAGGGTCAGTTCACAGTATATTCTTAGCTCCCTCCTAGCCTAATGCCTAGTGGTGGTTAATAAATATTTGTTGAAAGAACAGATTTTATATGTTTTATATAAATAATAGCCTTTACTTAAAGTGATTTGTAGTAAACCTCTCTTGTATCCAGAATGAGAAGTTCTAGTTAATTGGGGTATACTATATCCTAGATACCAGTTTTCTAAGAATTAAAAACTGGTATCTAATGCTGAAGCTATACTGACTATAGTATAATCTTGCTTAGATGATTCAGTCATTTTAGGTTTTGTAGAACATTATTTTATTCAACAAATATTCACTGAGCACTGTAGTAGATCTTGGGGACACATTGTAGGCAAGACAAGATTCCTGTCTTGAGGAAATTTAATTATTATATTCATAGTAATAGATTTAGAGGGCATGGTGACTGTATTATATTTAATTAGTTTGTGACATGCCACAAAATCTGATCTTTATGAATAAGTTATTGTTATATACACATCATCTGTCTTTCTACTAAAAGTAGATGTATAATCTCAGTTACTTTCTGATTCTTTGGATGTCAGATAAAAAGGAGTTGTATTTGATACCTTCAGTATGATATATACATGGAAAATTGCTCTTTTGCCAATAGATGCTATGCTAATCCTGTGAAAGGTGGGAAACCTATTTAGGAATGAACTATTACCTCTTGAAACAAATCTTTTTTTTTTAAATTTTTTTAGATGTTGATGGACCTTTATTTTATTCATTTATTTATATGTGGTGCTGAGACTCGAACCCAGGGCCTCACACATGCTAGGCAAGTGCTCTACCACTGAGCCACAACCTCAGCCCTTGAAACAAATCTTTACACTAGTGAAAATAGGTTTTTGTCCCTTTTTTCCCCCTGATCTGCCTACTACTGATGAAGGCAACATGGAACTCTCAGTGTCTCCTAAATACCTTCAGTAAGGTTTTGTTTTTTGTTTTTTTTTTATTTTTTTAGTTTTCGGTGGACACAACATCTTTGTTTGT